AGATTTTGAGAGCTAATAGTACTGCATATGTAGTGATTTTGATAATGATCTGTGTTGAATTTTGCTCAAGAGAAACTGAATCCATATATTTTTTGCTGTTTTTAATTGAACTATGCCAAAAATAAACCCTGTCACGTCTCGAACTATGATTAAAAAATACTTTTCAGTCCTGTTCAAAAATGCGGTGGAATAGAATGTACAAACCTCTGCTCTCAAATGTGATGAAACAAAAGAAAAATGATCCAACTTTTTTGCTGGAGGGTGCATCAGAAAGGTTTAATTTTTAGCTATAAAACCATCTGTAATTGAATCAATGTAAAGTAGAACTGTTTAAAGTCATACTGTGGAACATTCCAGGCAGAACAATGCCATATCCATAGAAACAAGCAGGTAACGGACCCTCCACCAGAAAAGTTACACAATGAACCTTTAAGTAGAGAAGTCTATGCAGTAAGTACAGTGCATTACAACTTTTACTTTATGTTCCGCCACTATAAATGCAGTACTATGTGAACAGATTGTAGTAGTAGATTTATTCTACAGAAACTTGATTTGGGATTGGAAACAAAAACTATTGACGATTCATCACTCTTCCTTTCTTGAACTCTTTTTGACACTGGCTACTGCATACTCTGTGGTGTCTAAAAAGTGAACTTAAGTTAAGTATTACTTACCAAAAAATACATTTTACCTTCTGTGCCTGTGCATCCTGAGACAGCGGGCGAAACAGTCTCAAGTTGTTCTTCCACAAACAAATAAACAAGGGTTTGCTCAAATAAAAAGTACTTTATGGAATATGGTTCTATATAGCAAAGGCAGAATAAGTATTGCTCAGGTAATCGTACAGCAGTTTTAAGTACTGTTTGTGTATTTGTGTATTATTACAAAGCCCTACAGACCAGCCGCATTCTACAAAAGCAACAAAACTGCACAAAACTCATACACTTGTTTATTCAGTTTCAGTATTGAGAAACTAAATACATATACTGAAAATACATACTATGAATACTCATTTTGACTAACTGTATTCCGATCTCTTAAATGAAAAGGAATACATGGTGATACTTTAACATATCATTTTGGTTTTGTACTGCGAAACTAGTGAGAAAAAACAAGAAAACGTAGCTCTTGCAATGGGTGTGTGTGCATTTTCTCCTTCTCTAATTAGACATAAGTTAATCCACAGGCAGGGCAACAGAAATAAAGCAGTTTGTAATACTACGCAGTAGGGATGGGATGACATACAATTTCCACAATACAAGATGAGACAAGAGACTGGAAACACAAGAACAAGACAAGATTTTGACATTCCTTATAAGAAATACATTATGCAATCCAGTTCAGTTTTGGCCTCAATCATTTTTGATTTACCTTATTTAATACTTTTGCTATTACTGTAGCAGTGGCAAAAGGAGAAATTCAGTTTGTCAGCTGGACAAAAGTTTATTTGGTCGAATACATTTCACAGCTCATTCAAGCTGCTTCTTCAGTTCAGTCAGACGCTGGTGGACACTGCCTTATATCTGCCTGCAGGGAGGAGCTAACTACAATGACACTACTCTGAAATTACCAAGTAGGTGTGTTACTTACTTGTTTACAGTTTCTATTAGGTAGCTTGGCCTATTGATCTTGGATTGAGTGTGGGGTCATATTAGTAGAATCATTCAGGGCCATAATGGGTGCGTTCACACCTCTGGGTCTGACCTGGCTATCCCTCATCTTTTCTTTGATTGTTTTGATTTAGCTGTGAAACATATTAGACCAAATAAATTGTTGTCCAGTTGACAAACTGAATTTCTCCTTTTGCCATGGATTCTACCTGGACGACTGAGGGACTGTACATCCTTTGTAAGAGTGTTTTTGGGACTACAACTTCTCAAAAAATGTAACTCAACAGTACTTAACTATATTTTTTCAATCAAAACGTAAAAACATGGGATCAGTTCTTTTCTCAAACTGGAAACAGTCATATGGTAATACCACAGTGCTCCACTGTGTTTTTAAACTCAGGACACATTCATTAGAGTCATTTTTGTGTGTGGCCATAGAGGCTTGTCAAAGCCTGAGCCGCTAAGCAGGGCCAGGCCTGGTTAGTACTTGGATGGAAGACCACTGGGAAAATCAGGTGCCACAGGGGGGCGCCAGTAACAAAAACTTAGACAAGGTATTTCACCCACATTGCCTAGTATGAAAGTGGTGTGTGAGATGGTGCAGATTGGCAGCCTCACTTCCGTCAGTCTGCCCCAGGGCAGCTGTGGCTACAATAGTAGCTTATCACTACTGGGTCTGGAGTGAATGAATAATGCTGTGTAAAGCGTCTTTGAGTGTCTAAAAAAGCGCTATATAAATCTGATGCATTATTATTATTATCACTTCAGCCCTAGAATCGCCCATGTTTACTGAACTAAAGTTAAAAGGACGCTGTAAACTTTTAAACTACCGCATTTTGAGTTTTGGAGATGTAGACAGACAAATAATAAATACAGACAAATAATAAAACACAACTCCTGGTATGTCTTTGATCAGGAAACGACATTCTAACAAGACTCACACGAGCGAATTCAGCGTAATATAGGACCTTTAATAATTGCAGTATTTAAGAGACTTCTCAGCCTTCATATCCCTGAAAACAGTTTTTGCCATGTGTTGAAGACTGACAACAAGTAATTAAAGGATGCCAACTGTTTACGTACAAGACTCTACAATATGGAGGATTCGATTTCAAAGCCGCGCAAACTCATAACTTCCTGAATAACAGCTTTACTTCTACAAAAATGAAAATATCTTTGTAGATTCTGGTAACGTCTTTACGGGATTATTGAGAAAAACGAAGACACACACACGCGGTTGGGTCTGGATTGATGGAGTCTTTAAATTGGTTTAACTTCAAAGAGCCGTACATCTCTGAGTGAAGCTCCAAAGACCAATCAATTACCAGACATGAAGGCACTCCGCACGCTAACTTGTTAACGCAGTAGCCCACACACGAGCAGTAGTGGAAGTTAACGAAGTAAAATTAGCGAAGTGCTGTACTTAAGAAAAAATGTTTAAGTATCTGTACTAAACTTAAAGGTGCACGGTGTAACTCTTTGGTTGGGGGTCTGTCACCTTCTTGTTTCTATGGATATGTCATCGCTGCCTCTCCACAGATCTGACCTGTGACTTGACCTGCTTTGGTCTCCATGACAATAGAAAGGTTTAATGCCGTACTGTGAAACATTCCAGACGAAGCAATAACATCTTCACGGAGAAAAGCGTTTGACAAGCCTCCGCAAGAAACGTCACACAATGCACCTTTAAGTTGATTTTTCATGTGATACTTTTACTTTTACTTGAGTATTTGTTTGCTCTGGTATCTGTACTTTTACTTAACTTTACTTACTTCATGTACCTCAGCTTGTGTCATCTCAGAGGGGACACTGAGCCTTGGCCCTCCCCTTCTCCCATGTTACGTGCAGAGAAATATCGATTTTAGAAGTGGCTTTGTTTGTTCTTCGTTGTGAACTGGAATAAAGGCATCCGTCAAGCTCGAAAAAGTAGAAGGACATGTCTACTGTCTCTATGGAGATGCAAGGCCCAGTAAATCACACTGCCCCAAAGCCTGGCCTCGAGAAAGGGGTGAGATGGGCTCCGAAATGGGACGTATTCATCTTTTCAATGATAAGTGATAAGAGAGTGAAAACAGATATGAAGCGGAGTGGTACGCAAGCTACTTCAGACAGTACATGGAGAGCTCTTCAGTCTGTGGGTTTGACAAATTTTGCCAAATAATTTAGTTTACTTAATCCACTTTCTATCCTGCTTTGGATAATGTCTTCTTTAGAATTGAAGTAGGAATTATGTAGTCCACTTTAAAACCCTTTTTTAGTCCTAGATCAGGGGTTTTCAGATTGAGCCACCCCTTGGAGCTGGTAAAGACAGCCGAGCCCTAAACCAGGACTAAACCAGGACTAAACCAGGACTAAACCAGGACTAATCTTGGACTTGAGAGAGAGAAAGAGGAAGAACCCTGAGCTGGAGGTCTGAGCGGGACAGAATTTTCAGGTGCTGGTTTAGTCCTGGGTTAGTCCTGTTTTAGTTCTAGTTCAGTCCTGGTTTAGTCCTCCTGGTTCAGTCCTGGGATCAGTCCTGGTTTAGTCCTCCTGGTTCAGTCCTGGGATCAGTCCTGGTTTAGTCCTGGAGTCCTCCTGGTTTAGTCCTCCTGGTTCAGTCCTGGGATCAGTCCTGGTTTAGTCCTCCTGGTTCAGTCCTGGGATCAGTCCTGGTTTAGTCCTCCTGGTTTCAGTCCCTGGTTCAGTCCTCCTCCTGGTTCAGTCCTGGGATCAGTCCTGGTTTAGTCCTCCTGGTTCAGTCCTGGGATCAGTCCTGGTTTAGTCCTCCTGGTTCAGTCCTGGGATCAGTCCTGGTTTAGTCCTCCTGGTTCAGTCCTGGGATCAGTCCTGGTTTAGTCCTCCTGGTTCAGTCCTGGGATCAGTCCTGGTTTAGTCCTCCTAGTCCTCCTGGTTCAGTCCTGGGATCAGTCCTGGTTTAGTCCTCCTGTGTCGCACCTCCCCAGTGGCTCTTTGGCGTCTCTCTGGGAAGGCGAACCTCACCTATTGAAAACCGCTGCCTTAGATTATACCCAACTGATACTCTGCACTGACATCTTTATTAATCAGAAAACAAATCATTTTCCTTATAATACAACCTTAGGTAGGAAGAGGAAATTGGGTCCCCAACATATCCACGGGTAAAATAGGGGTCACTGGCCAAAAAAAGGCTGAGAACCACTGCTGTAAATGACTGAGATACTAGTAGTAGCAAAAGTAGAACGTCCAAAGGGTGCTTCATCTTTAGACAGTACAGCTCTGAGATTATAGCAGTGATATTAGCCCCAATAGTGGAAAGTGTTTTGGTATCAGCATCACATGTATAGATGTATCTAAAGATGTACAGATGAATGACATTTTGCATATTCTTGTTAAATCTATAAGAATAAAAAAGACCAAACAGAGACTCACCTCCAAAACCAGGCCTCATGGTGAAGTCGTGATCATCTACTCTGAGTAAATGCTCCGTCTTGACTTTGCGAGACTTGGTCACATCTGGAGGCTTCTTGGCGAGTGACCTTATAAAAAAAAAAAAGAAAAAAAAAAAATCAAAAAATCAAGATTAAGACTTAGCAAGAAATTGTTGCTTAAAGGTTCTATCTTATGCAAAATTCACACATTTGAGATTTTAGTCATGTTAGAACGTTGTTACCTCACCAAAAACATACCTAGACTTGTGTTTTCTTTCATTTGCACATCTTTTTTATTAGGATGTCCACATTTCCAAAACTAAAAATGCTCTGTTCCACCTTGTGATGTCATAAAGTGGTAGTTTTCAAGTTCACAGCAGCTTTTTACCTTTAGAGACTCTGTAGAGATTGGCAATTCCATGTGTGAAATTATCCAAGTGATTCTAGTGTAGCTGTATTTGATTTTAAAAACACAGTGGAGTGCTTCCTGTATTACCACATGACATCCCAAAGTGGAACGTGGAAAGTGGAGTGTGAATGAGCAATGAACATTCTAACTCGGATCAGAAAACGCCGTGACATGAGCCCTTTAAAGCTGTGTGGAGCATGGGGGAGGATCAAAACAAAAGACTTATTCATAATACATGCAAAAGTACAAAGTGTGTAGAAAATGGCGACATGGTGAATGAGGGAGCTGCCTGTCACATTCTCAAAAATGACTGTACGGTCTCTGGGCTCCGTACAGTGTCGCGCAGAGAGGGCACCCTGCTGTGATAATTGCGAGTGCAAGGCATGATGGGAAAGGTTCGGACACTTGACTCAGGAAAAACATTAAATCTTAAACGAGCATTTGAGAATAGAAAACATATATTAGCATTGGAGTTGTGGGCTTTTCCTGCGTGGAGGATTTGAACAGCGAGCCTCATGTTTAGTATATAGTTTTTGGTATATGGTTTCTTTGTATATCCAGATTCTGGACAAGCATAAATAAATAAATAAAAAGCAGCATGAATAGTGCATTGTCTTATACATTTGGCTGAAATCACAAAGAAGGAACAACGAGGGCCAAAATGAAAAACAACATCTGCATGTTTTCTCTTCTTTCGAGATATGTAATGTTAAACCTTTTCTTATTAAAATAAATGATTAATAATAGTTTTGCTTAAACATTGAATCCAGAATAAACTAAATATAAAATAACAACAGTTTAAATAAAAAATGTCTATAGTTTATCTGTAGCCAGCGGGCAGCTCTAATACATATTTGATATGATCTTGCGGGCCAAATATAATTATATCGTGGGCCAAATTTGGTCCCCGGGCCTGAAATTGACATGTCTGTTATAAACAATAAGATCTTATACATATCTAATTGTGATTCTAACTTGTGACCACAAATATTAGTCGCCTCTGTCTTGCTCTGAGGTTCTATATTACGCAAAATTGACTCTTGTGAGCTTTAAGCCATGTTAGAATGTTGTTCCCTCATTTAAAACATGCCTGGAGTTGTGTTTTATTTCATACACAAGTTTGAGTAAATCTTTATTATTAGTCTGTCTACAACTGCAAAGCTCAAACTGCTCCATTAAACCTTGAGATGTCATGAAGCTGAAGCTTTCAAGTTACCTTTTACCTTTGGTTCAGTAGAGATTGGCAATTCTAGAGCTGAAATCCTTCAAATGATTCTAGTGAGGGTGTATGGAGTTTAAAAACACAGTGGAGAACTTCTAGTATTACCACATGACATCACAAGGTAGGGCAGAGTGTTGTCTGTTTGAGAGAAGAACTCAGCCTAAATGTATGGGGTTAAATATGTGTGAATGAAACAAAACACAATTCCAGGCATGTTTGCGATGAGGAAACATTATTAAATATTAAATTAAAAGTTTCTAAAATTGTGATATGACTTTCTACACTATTTTCTATACATAAACTATTTTTATATCCACTCAGGGCGTTATGATTAGAACATAAAAACTCCACTTGCTGAGATCAAACAGCAAAACACGGGAATTGAACCATCAGTCACACTGTTAATAGATCATTACTGTACAGTTCAATAGAGTTAATTCGCTTAAAGCCGCATCGGCAGTGAATCAAAAATGTATAGATGTGATAAAATCTTGAAGTTGATGATTTTTTAAGTGAATTAAATTTGAAAATGTCCCTGGGCTGTAATTATTATTTTAGTCATACTGATTCAATTTGATTTCTAAAATGATCAAGCAGAGGTCAGTACAGCTACTGATACCACATCATTACCATAATTAACTGAGCCCGCAACACGTAAGGGCATCTGGCATAAATCCTCCAACTAATATGAAGTGACATTAAGTTTTGACAACATATGATTTTACTATGTACTCTATAGTATGTAAACAAATACTTTTTTTTTTTTTTTTTTTTGAGTATGTGGACTTAAAGAAACATCGCAAAGTAGTACAGTTTTAAAGAAAGGTATTATCACAACTGATCTATGTTATAATGTTGTTTCCTCATCAAAAACATACCTGGAGTTGTGTTTTGTTTCATTCACACATATTAACACACCAATCCTGCATATTTAGGCTGAGTTCTTTTCTCAAACAGAAAACACTCCTTGTTCCACCTTGTGATGTCATGTGGTGATACAAGAAGTGCTTCACTGCGTTTTTAAACTCCATACACATTCACACATTCAGAATCATTTGGATAGTTTCAGCCCTGGAATCACCAAACTCTACTGAACTAAAGGTAAAAGGAGCTGTTAACATAAAAACGACCGCTTCATGACATCACAAGGTGGAATAGAGCGTTTTGAGCTTTGCAGATTTATTTTATTTTTATTTTTAGTTTATTTATTTAATGAGATAGGAACAGTGCACAGTATACACCTGATCTTAGCTATCAACTATTCTTCCTGGAGACCTATTCATCAGCCTGTTTTACTTCATTTCACTTTGTACAAACCGTCTGACCTCGCAGCATTAGATTTCGTTTGCTTGACAGTAGGCGGGTACTTTTTTTCATTTAACCAATCGCTGCTATCTGGTCGTGACGTATGTAATGCGCTGCTAACGGGTATATTAAGCTTTTCCCAAGTCCCGTAAGAAGAAGGACAATAACGTCTTTCCCCTTGATGAAATTCACCAAACATTCTCTTTATTCCTGCTTTAAATCCTCGATCTCTGGAATTGTTGACAACACTGTTAGAGAATTTTTATGTTATAAGCATTTCTCAGTTAAAGTGTTGTAAATGTAAAGGTAATCATGATGTAATATAAGTTATCAACATTGGCTTTTTGTTTTGTTGTGTTCAAGCTGTATCAGGTGATATGGATGATGTGTCGGCTGACTCATCAAAGATAATGTACCGGGAGAAACAAATAGTAATGGTAAACATCATGAGGTTAACACAGAACTCTGGGGAATTGCTAGAGGCTCTACCACCTGAAATGTGAAATCTGTGTATAATGGGGGGCTGTGTCAGTGGAAGCTTGTCAGTCATGAGACCTGTGAGCTTCAGGATAGATTTTAAAGTTCTTTTATTAGTTTATAAAGCTCTTAATGGTCTTAGTCCTATTTATTTATCTGATCTGCTTTTATCATATGAGCCCTCTCGGACTCTCAGGTCCTCAGGTAGTCTTCTTTTAACTGTCCCAAGAGTCCAGACTAAAACTCACGTGAGGCGTCATTCAGCTTTTATGGCCCCCGTTTGTGGAACAGTCTGCCTGAGGATCTGAGGTCCGCTGCGAGTGTTCATATTTTTAAAAGTAAACTCAAAACCTATCTTTTTAATTTAGCTTTTAATTGAAACTTTTATCTGTCTTAACTTAAATTATTATTATTATTATTATTATTATTATTATTATTATTATTATATTATATTATTTATTCTAAATTAAATTATCATTACTGTTTTACTTTGTCTCCATTTAGATTTTTATAATAACCTTTAGAGTTTTATGTTTTTTTTTTTATGTTTATGTTTAAATGGTTGTATATATGGATGAAACAAAGGGATGGGGTGGGGGGTTGCTCTTGATTTTTGCTCTTGATTTTAATTATTGTATTGTAATTTTTCTGTTGCATGTGAAGCACTTTGTGCTACATTTTAAATGTATGAAAAGTGCTATACAAATAAAGTTTGATTGATTGATTGATTGATGAGACAACATGTGAACAATAGGTACTGTATTCAAAGTAACCTATTGTATGATAATTGTGTGCTCTACAATAAAAGGACGCTGGAGAGAGGAGAGCGTCAGTTAGGATGAGACAGGCAGCTCTCTCCTACTCCTTGCGCAAGTAAAACCAACCACTGTGTCCCTGGCGTGTTCTTTAATATTTGAGGTCGGGGTAAATTCCCTGACAAACACTGAATCACTCTTTGCTGAACACCTGGTGCCCGAACTTGCACTTCCGGGGTTTTTGCGAACCGTCTATTGTATTTTGATTCCTGACCTGGTTGCTGGAGAGAAGTGAAATTGAGCGGAGGCACTAGGTGGCGCCAGTCTGGCTAGGAAACCGGAGCGCCTGGAGGAAACCCATTCAGACATGGGGAGAAACATCCAAACTCCAACAGAAAGGCCCAGACTTATAATAAATGGTTACTCAAACATGTGTGAATGGAACAAAACAGAACTCATGACATGTTTTGAGGAGGTAGCAACATTATAACATGACTTAAAGCTCACAAGAGTCCATTTTGTGTTATATAGGACCTTTAACCTACAAACAGAAGACACATGTACACGTTTTGTTCTCGTTCTCATGTGAAAACTCAAGGAGATCGGTTTAAGTAGTGAGAAATCAAATCAGAGACAGTCATTTTCGGTTCAAACCAACTGGATTTCAGCTTTGGATCTGTCAACCTGAGACTCGTGTTTATGAAATTTAAAATCAAAATCTTACATAAGGTGTGGTTAGTCTTGCCCTGAAACCACAACAAGAAGTGAATACAAACTAGGACTACTTCACCGAAAATAGCTCAATGTAGTAAGTTTTTATTCATTCTGAAATTACCAAAAGCTGTTCCGTTCTTTAAATTAACTACATGAGATTTTGCAATTCATAACTCTCTATATGCGGCCAAATTACCCAGCGCTGACTGATTTAACACTATTCATA